GAGATTAGTCTCCTTGTAAGTCCTGGTGTTCACTGTTTCAGGCAGGCGGCCCAGATTATGAGTGGGGAAAAGCACCGGTGGGTGTGGGTGTGGGGGTGGGGGGGGGGGGCAAAAAGTCCCTCTAACCGTTAAATAATCTACTGGAATAAAAATTTATGAAGTATTTGTCAATCATTTAAAAGCTTGTTAATTTTACTCTTCCTAATTTTCCTTGATATAGTGGTCAAAAACAATTTGAGTTTTACTGCCTATAATGCAAAAAATGATTTGGTCTGCTCTTTTAGTGCCAGTAAAACAAACTTGCGATGTTTCCAAAAGCAATGCCTTACAACACAGAAAAAGCAGCAGCAACATATTTAGTGTTGGAGCAGATTTTTGTTAAATGTGCCTGAGACGTAGGATAGTAGTAGAAGACAAATTTTTCTGTGCCGGGTATAGGCGGAAGTGCCAGGTCTTATGATGGGTACTATGGCACCCAGCACAGACCGAGGCGGCCTGCACAGTGCTCACCATAAACTGAGGTGGCCTGCACAGTTCCTGGAACAAACTGAGGCGGCCTGCACGGCACCCAGCACAAACTGAGACGGCCTGCACGGCACCCGGAATGAACTGAGGCGGCCGGCAAGGCACCCAGCACAAACTGAGGCGGCCTGCACAGTTCCTGGCACGAACTGAGGCGGCCTGCACGGCACCCGGAATGAACTGAGGCGGCCTGCACGGCACCCAGCACAAACTGAGGCGGCCTGCACAGTTCCTGGCACGAACTGAGGCGGCCGGCAAGGCACCTGGCATGAACTGATGGGCCTCCAGACCAAAATTCCAAGCCAATATGGCATAACAACCCAATGTACAGAATGATATTTTAATTTTCATACATTTGTTATTGCCTTTCGTATGTTAATGGCCTTTCTTATTTAAAATTTGGTGATCAGTAGTAATTGTTGACACACTTCAGCACAGTGCCCAACAACGAAATGTGTCCCCTGCATTTAACCCATATGTGACATCATGACACAGCAGGGGGCAGCTAATTCAGCCCCCGGGGAGCAGTGCTTGGGGGCGGTACCTTGCTCAGGGTACCTCAGTGGTCGGGGATTTGAACCAGCAATCTTTCGATTACAAGTACGCTTCCCTAACCATTAAGACACCACTACCCATAGACCGTGCGATAAAACCCACCTAAACACAATTACAAAATTATATACAATTATTTCCAATTTCTCAATCGTTTCCTCGTGTGACATGTTTTGGAGGAATGCCTCTGATGGCCATTTAGCAGGGCTATTCAACTCACGGTCCTCAAGGGCCGAGCCCTGCTGATTTTCCAGCCTTCCTTCATGTGTGAGCCAGGTATGAAGCCTCTGACCAATCAGAATCAGTAATTATTTAACTAACTACCTGGGAGAACTGAAAACAAGGCCTGGATTTGGAATCGAGGGCCTGAGTTGAATAGCCCTGCCATATAGCATAGGCCAAATTAATCTTGGGTCTTCATTATTTTGTTATGTGTGAGCCTAATCTTTTGCTTGGCTGCACTGCCATCTACAGTTTGGAAGAGTTACTACAGCCCTGGCAACCTTCCTTCCATGCCACACCTCCAGAGGTCACTGCCAGAAACGGGTATTTATCTTACCAACCAAATTAAGATAAGATTCAAATTAATCATAATTGTTATATTTGGCTCCAGATCCACAACACTCAAAGCAAAACCATAAAAGGTATAAAAGCTATGCTGGTATGAATCTTTTTAAGGATGGTTTCAGAGGTATAAAGTAACGATTTTAAAGCAAATTAACAACAAACAGTAAGTCTATATATTTGCTTTCATATTTCATATCCAAACATAAATTATGTAGGAGACAGTCTATATGTTTTTATTTTATTTAACAGTGAAATAAACAAAACCAAATGTACAATATCCTCCTGAGATCAATAAAATTGTGAAAAATACAAAAAAAAAAAGTAACTTTAAAGTGGTACTGTTTTAAAAAATAAAATTTCTGACCTGGTGCTTTCAAGAGTTAGCATGGCCAGTTGTGTTATACACCATTCCCATGTCATATTCCCGGCCGTGAGCATTGTTGTGCACAACTGAACATAACTTCACATAATATCAACATAAGGTAACGGTTTCTGTATTTCTGATGTGTGTGGCAACATGCAGGTACAGAAAACATACCAGAATATTTTGTTGGCATAAACTTACTTTGTATACCTGAATATAGTAATCTCTGAAGCATAATAATATTTAGCATTAGGGTACTTGTGTCCAGTTAATCTCCGGAGCGATCACCGATTTAAAAACAAACACAGAATATGGGGAAACCAAAGGTATTCTTTGAGGACATACGATATGAATGACAGTCAAACGCAGATTATCATTTTAAAAGATAAGTACAGAATCTGTATCATTTTCAGTGGAGTATGCATGGTCAATATAGATGCAATTATAAGGCCAGCATCAGGTTTATTTAATTTTCTCAGCAATATATACACACGATAAAGCTGATATGTGGAATATGCAGTGACCGTACGAGGGGGGAATCCTGATGGAAGTGTTCAACGTTACAGCTTCAGATGCGGAAGGATTTTTACGTGAAAATTCAAACCCACAAGACAAAGCTTGTGTCTTTATTAGTCCTGTGTATCAGTCTGCCCGGAATCTAGATTTTTTTCACAGACGAGATAAAGAGACCCCCGACTCATCCATGTGTCCAACAGAGGATGGAAGGTCCCCTCTTCCTAGTCTTGAGAGGGATCAGTCTTTTTTTTAAAACTGGATTTTTAGAATCCTGGATCCAGAACCCATTTAAACTCCCTTTTGACCACAATGGTGGATAGCTGAATGTCCTTGTTGGTCAGCTCCTGTTGGATGTCGAGACTTGAATTAGTGTCCATTGGTCTCAGGAGCAGGAACAGGTGTTGGAGTAGAGGACCGGGAAGTGACCGGAACCTTCTCTGCGCCAGGGCTGGGCGCGGGGGCACTGTCAGCCTTCCCGGTTGCTCTGGCAGCCGCGGCGGAGTGGGCCTTAGGCTGGGCCTGCAGACCCGGGCTGCAGATCAGGTGGTGTCTCTCCCAGTCCTTGTGCTGGCAGAAGGAACCGCAGTAGCGCGCAGCGTTGCAGCCGCTGCACGTCTCGCTGGCCTTGCGCCCGCAGTTCCAGCAGCACTGCAAAGTGAAACCCAACAGACCGTCATTGCGATGCATTTCCCTGGTGGAGTTACGCAGCCCTGTTGTCTGCAAGCTTCAGGTGAATAACTCACAGAGATAACCCATGCCCGTCTCTTCTGAACGTGTGTGCGTGTAGAATATTCTGCTACTGTGACATTATTTGTTGTGGTTCTTGCCGTCTTAAAGACAAGGATTGACAAAACTGGTACGCAAGTACACATTCACCTTTTTTTTTTTTTTTCCTTTTATTATTAACCAAACACAGAAACAGGGTAAGTCATAGCAGTGGGAGACAGTGAAGGGGACGGCAACCATAGGGAGAGAAACATTCACACAATTAACCACAGTAAGAGGATTACTAAATATAAAATATAATTAAATCTAGTGTATTTACCGTATGCACACCTATATGCAAAAGTAAGGGTCATATCATAGAGCAATAAACAAACAAATAAGGACATAATAATAATCATAATAATGATATGTTTGTGAACTAATGTGTCTTGGGGAGGATATATTGGGGGGTGGAGATGGAAGAGAGGAGAGGCAGGAGCGAAAGGAGGATAGATGGGGTCAAGATTGCTATTGGTTGAACCGGGCAGGTTGGGTCCACAGTGCACCACGAGCGCGTCAGAGGGAGAAGACATGGCAGCCCCCAGGACAGCGGCCCCCTCACCACCACCTGGCCCCGGGCAGACCATACCTAACACGATCCGCAACCCCTATTCTAGAATGGAGCTGTGTACGCATTCACCTTTAAAAGCGACACTGCCCCTTGCGTGTGACTGTGTGGGCGTGTGTGTGTATGATCGTCACCTCGCTGGAGTCCTCCTGCTCGTTGATGACCTGGAAGGCATCCTCAGTGGCCTTCCTCTTGGCCTCGGCGAGAGTCCTCTCCATCTTGGTCCTCTCGGCAGCGATCATCTCGAAGGCTTTCTGCTCAGCCTCAGCCACGGCCTTCTGGACCTCGTCCATTGCCTGCCGCTTCACTTCATTGACAGCCTCCTCTGTGGTGGGGATGGGCGGGGGGGGGGGGGAATGCTGTTAAAGTCCTGCCTTAGTTCAGAGGAACGCCCCTCCCCTGCGATACTACAGGTTCACAGACGGTCACTCATTACACAGCATCATGCATCACGGCAACCATCAACAAGTGTTTGGAAAACTAACTATTAAGCTTTACTTTCGTATATAGACAAAACTGCTGCAAATTAAAATTGTATTAAAATCGCCATATCAGTCCAGTCCCAAGACGATGAAAATACAGATTTACAGATTAGGAGGCAAAATATCTGCCGGAATTGTGTGTGTGTGTTTGTGGATTAGGGTGTAATAAAAACCAGTTTTTTTTTGACGTTGTGGGAACCATTTTTCAGGTCCCCACAAATATTCCCCACAGAAATGACTGGAGAGCTATAATTATACAATTACAAACCTCTGTGTGTGTGTGTGTGTGAGACTTGGGGCTAAAGAGTTTCAGTGCTTTAAAAGTTTAACTTATGATACTTTATTAATTGTCAGTATTACATCTGACTTATACATGATAACTGTGAGGTTTTGTAAAATTAGAAATGATTAGACCAAAATCTGTCCAAAACTGAACAGATCGTGTCTGAGTGTGAGCACAGACTTGGGGGAAACCCAAGCGGGTTAAGGTGACGCCTGACGGAGGTGCCCCGCGGAAACAGCTCTCTAGACAGGCTCACGGGGCCGCTACCGTGCTCCTGCATCTCAGGCTCCCGCTTATCCATCTAAAGCCTTTTTAGAGCTACGGCTCAGCCTCTGGCGACCAGATGACTGATCACAGATCAGACAGACTGGCCCTCGAGAGAGCAGGAGGCAGCCTGGAAGCCTCTTATGCCCCCCCCCCCCCACCAAAAACTTACCAGCTTTCCTCCAAATCTCGTCCGGCACATACGCAGAGCCAACCCTCAGCACAAAGTCCCTCTGGCTTTCTGTTGGGGCAGAAGAAACGGCATTTTTAGGAGGCCCTGCAGTCGTGGGCGGGTGGCACGTGACGGGCGCCGCGGACGAGGCCCGCTTGGACAGGGGAGCCTGGCAGATGGCTTGGAGCTGGGGAGCGGGGCTTGTTTTGCGAGACGACAGCTCTGCCTTCTGTCCTGAGCTGGATCGGACCCACTGGCACCTGCCGCAACCATGTACCATGAGCGAAGCTCCAGCCCCCTCTACTGTGCCAGCACCGCCCGCGCTCCCCGGGGGGGGGCGGGGGGGCTCAATGCCTCCGTGCTGCACACTGAATTCCCACAACATGGTTACAGCGGAACTGTGATTCTAGCTAAGGGTGATGTCAAGCTTTAAGATTCCTTATAGTTTATCTTCATTTTGGGGGATCCGTAGAGAGCAGTAGGGATTTAAATATTAACATTCATGAGTGCAGAGGGTAACAATGTTCGATGTTAACAATTTTCAATGCTCAATGATAAAAAAATTATTATTGATTATGGATTTAAAAAGGAAAACTATTGAGGAACCATGCTACATTAGCTTCAGCCCAAAAAACCTCTTCATCTTACATGGAAATAAATACTCCTCCACTATGAATCATTATTTTCAAAGAATATTTCACTAATTCCTGCCTTAAATGGTCAGGAGAGAAAACGTGGGTACTTTTGGTACTTTGGTACCTTAAACGCAGAGGACAGTATTTTTCCCTGTCAGTAATAGGTTTTACATGATTTTACAGTCAGTGAACCATCCGCATGCTTAAATTCTACTAGCCGTTTGCACCTGTGTCATTAATACTATTCCTGCTTATTTGTTCTGATGCTGGTGTTTAGCCTGGCTGAGTGTCCCTCCTCATGATGGGCTCTCACCGGCCTGTCCTCCATCGCCCAGCCGCGGGCTCTGGGCTTTGGGGAGGCTGGACCCGCTCTTCCCGGCCTCCTCCTGCTCGCTGGAGCGCCTCCTCCAGTAATGCAGCTCCTGCCGATCCGCCTCCTGACAGCGGCGGAGCACGCTGACCGAACGCCGCGTCTTCTCCACCATGTCCACGATGCAGTTCAGCACCTGCGGGGGGCGCCGAGCGTCAGAACACAGGCACCCACGCGCAACGGACCGGATCCCATTCGCTATTATGAGGTGTGAAGTTTATGGGTATTTATATAAAAGACAGATAGAATATTTCCTATTCAGATCACTATGAGTTTGCATCTCTGCTTATACCTTCGCTGCTGTATGCAAACGAATTTGCCCCTTGGAACAATAAAGTGCATCTTAAATGACTATGTAGGGCATATTGTTAAATATTATTTACATTTATAAATGTATATATAGTATTTACAAAGCATTTGTTAAGAATATCAGCTGCAGTATATAAATAATTTCTTTAGCATTTTTCTCTTTGGCTTCCTGATTTATGAACAAACAAAGGATCATGTTTCCTTCATGTCCCTGCAGTGTGTCTTGGACGCGGCCGATGGATCGGCTCTTACGTGATCGAGGTGCCTCCACTCGTCGGCCCACTCTCTCTCCGTCAGCCTGTGGTCCACGGGCTCCTCACGGAAGGCTCCGTTGGTGCCTGATTAAAAACACACACGCACAGTTCATATAGCCCCATCATTGTGGCGAATCTCCATTTATATGGGCATAGCCCTAATCCCAACATGAGGACCTGCCCAGCCCTGACCTTAACCATAAGTAACCAAACAAAATACGAGGGCTATTTTTGCTTTTTGATTACATTCTCTGATGTTTTTTTTAAACTGAGGATTATATTTTAAGATTGAGGTTCATATAATGGGGACCTGAACAATTTTATCAGAAGCTAAAAAGTAACAGGTCTGACAGTATTGTGACGACATTTGGTCCCCACAACGTGCTAAATGCAAACGGGCACACGCACACACACCATAAAAATGGTGTGACTTCAGCCATCCTGTTCACACTCTCTAAGTGAGAAAATGGGGGTGAAATCCTTCATGGGTCACGTTTGGGGAAACGGCTCAGAGAACCGCCCCCTGGAACCAAAAGAAACTGAAATCGAAAGAAAAACTAAATCATTAATCTTTCTCCTTTGAGCCCGAATTCGCCATCTGGACTAAAACAGCGAGAAACCGAACATCTCGAGTTACTTGAGTTTATTGTTGTCTGAATTACTGAAGGGTTCAGTGTAGATGAAGCTGATTAGAAGTGCCCCTCTTTTAGGCCACGCCTCCTGCCTTCCGGGTTCCAGCTTCACTCAGCACTCTCTCCACTCCCCCCACATTAGGCGTGGTGAATAAGATTTTCCATTTCTGGGCACTGGAGCGCCTTCCTCTGCTGGCAGAGGCGTGCGGCTCTCCACATGGTGACCTCGGAACAGCAGACCTCCATCAGGGCCCCACTCCAGAGGAGAAGGTCTGTGATGAGAACCAGACCTCTGGCACCAGGCTCCAGCTCACATCTGGGAGTCAGCTGTCAGCGCAGCCCCCCCCCCCCCCCCAACCCCCCCACTCTGTGTGCCTGCCGACCCAGAGCTGACAGAGTGTTGTCGGCGTGCGGCTGGACTGTCTGCGGCGCTGGCATTCCGGCACGGAGACAGCCTGGCTGACAGGCACCCCCCCCCACGTGCCCCCACGCTCCCTCCACCTCACCCTGTATCGCCTACTCGAGATTGCCGCATTCATGATACTGAAACCTTATATACCTGCAATTCTTGCGCCATAGACAATTGTACATCCTATTAATGGGGGGGGGGGGCTTTTTCGTCTCAGACCCCCTGAAAATAATTATTCTAAAACCATTTAGCAATTCGTCCTGTGCCACCCCCCCGCCTTGTGGGGGACCCTGCCCCTCTGCTCATCAAATTTAATCATGGGGATGGTGGACTATCCAGTATTTCTTTGTGGGGGGGGGGGGGGACAAATCCTAGAATTGGCCCTGGCTCTCAAGCCTTGCATTTTATCCAAGACAGCCTATTTTTCAAACGCCTGACCCATTTAAAAGGTGAGGGCTTCCAAGCAAGCCGTCGGAGAAGCACAACGGCAGCACAGCTTCTCCCTGAGACTGGAAGCAGCATTTCTGGGCAAAATATTGACAGGAAAATGTAGTGCATGCAGCTGATAAAGAAGCTGATAGGAAGCAGGGTAAAGCAGCGACTGACAGCACACATTAATCCCAGCCATCAGTCTTCTGACCAGTTATCCCAGTCAGGGTTAAAGGCGGCCTGGAGCGGAGCTCAGGCGGCCGGGATGCATCATTAAGCTGGACAGCTTGAGTCATCTGATGTTTGTGAGAGGAAAGCACTACGTCTCTGGATTATGGTACCAATTATACCGTAATTATTGTCAATAGTCTGACCATCAACATACATCTTTCTATTATGTTACGGCAGGTGTGTGTGGCCGTAACATCAAAGCAGCTTCAAACCACAGGCAACTTGTGGTTTCCATTTTCACATTGTATTCATTTACCTGATGCTTTTATGCGAAGCGACTTACAGTATATTTGTGTGCGCTCCCTGGGATTTGAACTTACAACCATTGCATTGTTAGCACAATGCTCTACTTGTATGGTAAAGATAAAGGCACTGAGTTTGGGTTGGTTTACCTGAGAGGCGCGGCCTGTCCTTGAGGTCTCGCAGCTCCAGCAGCCTCTGGGGCTCGCGGTATAGGTGTGGTACGGCTATGTCCTCCAGGGCATAGTGCTGCAAGGGCGGGGGCGTCGGGTGCAGCTGGCCAGTCAGAGGCAGGGGGTGGGCAGGGCTGTGCCTGGGGGCGGGGCTGATGGTGCAGATGCGCTTGGCTGGGGGTTCCAGGGGACCTGGGGGCCTCTCGTGAAAGCCGTTCTCTTTAGCCCTGCGGACACGGGTCCAAACACATTAGAACCACTGCTATAACTGAATCAAATGTTCCAAATCTAATTAAATGTTCCAAATCTAACTGTTCCAAACTATTTAAAAAGAGCTGCCATTAATTCTGGGAGATCATATGTGTAAAATGAGCTTTTATTTTTTTAAATATTCCCTTTTCAGCAGGTTCAGTAGTAAAATGCTAATATTTTATTATTGCTGTTTCTTCATTGGTCTGAGTGTATGGGGTATGTTGTGGGGGGGGGGGGGGTGATTGCATCCGGATGCTGGAAGAGCCTAACGGCCGGAGGGCTTGGGGGGGGCTTACGTGCTGGGGCTGTGTCTCTTGGCGTTCTCGCCGGGCTCCAGGAGCAGCTCCGAGGAGTCAGACGGCGATGCCAGCGTGGTACTGAGCAGCAGGTGCTCATGCTGTGAGAGGTACTGGGCAGGCGTCTGCTTGGCTGCCCGGGCGCAGTGCAAGAGCTCCCTCTGCAGGAGGGGCAGGTTGGCCTGAACAACAGGAGGCATGGACAGCGTTGTGAAGAGGGGAAGGGGGGGCATGCCTTGGGAATAAAAAGAAAAACACGGCCCCCAAGCCAGGCACCCTCGCCTCACTCTGCTGTCTACCAGACCTGCAAAAATGGCATCTGGTAAATGTAACCAAGAGTTTCATCTTTTCTCTCTGTCCCTCTCTCTCTGCATTTCAGAGAAATTACAACACCGTAGCGCTTAACAAACGGTTTGGGGTTTCACGACATTTGGATTGCAGTGGCAGAAATCCAGACTGACCCGATTGGGCCCAGGGCCTAGGAGGAAACTGAAATGGTTCAGATTTTTTGCTCATACAAGGCCAGTGCCAGAGTAAAGCAGTCCAGCGCCGTGGAGCCGTACCACGGGGCCCGGTGTGTGGAAGCACTCTGTGTAATGAGAAACAGGCCCCTCGCCTGTACTATTATGGCCTGCTTTTTCACCCTGCTGGATTGGGTGTTTCCCACGTGTCATTCACCCATCCATCCAGCAGGGGGTGCAAGTTAAGGCACCAGTGTGGACTGAAGTGTGATGCTCAAAGGACATGAAATGGGACAAAAAAACACATGGTCTAAACTTCACTGCCGCGTTTCGCCACTGTAAAAAAAAAAAAAAAAAAAAATCTGACTGGGGACAATGTCACATTCTCCAGATGTCACGTTAAACCGTGAAGTGAATTGCCCGTTAACTAGCCTAAATGTTTCTTACATTAAACTTTATTACAGCAATCTTGTAAATTAGCTGCCTACCTAGAAGTCCTTCTTGATCACAAATGCACATATGCAGTGCCTTTTTTTTAAAAAAAAAAAAAAGAAACATTAACGTGTGCTGTCTCGACAAGGTCGCTCTTCTTTGTCAAGAATTAATTCATGTCTAGAGCCTGACCTGGAAACATAAGCCAGTGAGAACTGGAGTCAAAATTTATCCAGCTGTAGGATTTTTACACACGAAATCAAAACACTGGCAGATTTCAGAGGACAGAATCCACGAACAAAAGATGCTGAAAATACTCATTTTCAGCTCTTAGTTGGGGCATATCGGAATCAGATGAGATTGATGATAGTTCTTGTGGAACACATGTTGGCATAGTGGGGGGGGGGGGGCTATGAAGGCCGTACCTTTAGGAAGGGGATGACGAAAGGCCGCAGGGGGAAGTTAGTCGCCTCCTGTAGTCGGGAGTGAAATTCCTCGATGGTGACGGTGGAGTTCTGCGACGGCAAAGGACACAAGGGGCTTTAGCAAAGGGTCCCGGGCATGAAGGGCAGTCCCTCCGAAACCTGATGCCATATGCTGTGCCGCAATTACCCAAAACCGTGTTTTTTTTCCCTTAAAATACATATATTTTCCATTTCTGCTTACTTTCTATTTTTGCGGAATTGCCACTGAGCCGTTCACCGTCGTTTATGAGAAAATGAGATTCAGACACTGCGCCTTAACGTTAACACCACTAGACAGAGACAGGATAAGCACGTCAACAGACGTTTCAGGACAATTCACAACACCATAAGAGCGATGCTGGCACATTACACAAATTTCATTCTCTGCAGACCTCCAGCACTGAAAAAAATTGTCTCCTGATGATGCAAGAGGGTGAAACTATTATCAAAACAGAGCGTGGTGTCTCTGCTCACATTATGTTTATGTAGGACACGCCCTGGCTCTGAACCAAACGAGACAGAAATCTTTCATTATTGGTGGAATTCCCCTTTAAGTGCTGGCTCCGCCCCCACAGGAACTCACCACCAGTGCCAGCACCAAGCTGCGCACGCTCTCCCCGATCTCCGGCGAGATGTCGCTCCCGAACTGCTGCAGCGTCGTCAGGAAACGTTTCAGCTTGCTGAGCTGCCGTGCCCCGCAGGTGGCGGGCAGCTGCTGGTTGGCCAGAGACGAGGAGGATGATGGCGGCCCGTTGCTATAGTGCTGGGGCGGGGAGGGAACTGCATTCAAAGTAGGTGGGGAGTTATTAATCCCATTGGTCACTAAGGAAAGAAATGAATAAGCGTCCGTCTGGGGATTGGCCGCGTCGCTGGCAATGTGTTCCCAACGACAAAAATACACAATTTTATAATCTAATATCGCAAGATTAAGTAATTGCGTTTATTGGCTTTAATAAAATTCAGTTTTATATAGCACAATTCCCACCAAGACTGCCAAAGGGCTCTCATTGTTAAACAAACAAGAGAAAACAAATAATACTGAAAATTAAATTAGGTCTAGCAGCACGGTGGCAGTCATGTTGGTACAAATTGTCAAAGTGCGCATGAACCAGAATGTAGTGCATGCAGTGGTTCTCAAAAGATTTGTCTGGAGACCCCCTCAAAAAACACCTTTCCATATGGGGGGGGGGGCTCAAAATGATAAAACATTATAATAGCTACCAATACAATTTGTCAAGTTTGCAAGTGAGGTGAATTTTATTTATTTTTTTTGCATATTTAGAGGGTCTTCTGACCCTTCCAAATTATTTGCCTCTCTACAGTTTGGGACCCACTGGTCTAATGATCCATCACTGTGTCATCACTGTTCTCCTGAAGCGATGACATTTGTAGGGGCAACCCAGAAGAGGGAGGTGGAACTTACGTGTGGCAGAGGGGAAGGAGACGGGGCGGGGCCCGCTGGGGTTGACAGAGGGCAGGGGGGGCATAGCAGAAGGCGCTGGTCTGGAATGAGCTTTGACATCCACAGGAGAACCAGGCATGGCAGACCTCTTCTTGTCTCGGTCTGAAAGAGGCGAGCCCAGAATCAGCCGTGTGATCGCCTACAGGTACCGCGTGGTCCATGCGGGAGAGCACACACACGTGTGCCCGCAAAGACCTCCCCGGCTTCTACCGTGACCTCATTCCAGACAAATCAGGCCCGGACACGGCTTTCGCAACTGATCGAAACAGCGGGTAAGTGCTGGAAAGGAAACAATCAGAAAGCCATCTCATCCAGAGGGGAAAGGAAAAAAAAATGAACAAATAAAATAAAAATCAGACACACGGGACGGGCCTGAGTCACTCAGTTCGGGCGCCAACACCAGAGCAATACCAGAACGCAGAGTTTTCCTCCCATAAATGCTTATTATCTGACATGCAAGAAAATGGGATAGGAAAAGCCTTGTTCCAGGAATTAACTGGATGCCATCTAGATTTGATCTATACGAAGATCCATTAAAAGAAGCTCTAAAGGATACATTTTAATAACAGAGTGTGCCAAAAAACACATTTCTGAAAGTTTCTGAAATGCTAGCTTAATTTCAGCCACTGACTTTCTCGAGTGCAACGCGTTCAGTATCTTCTTGCTAGCAAGCATGAAAACTGCAGACTAGAGGAAAAGCTGCAGCTACTGATTCATGTTCATGCTTTCGAGCAGCGTCTGTGACAGATTTCAAATGGCACTTTGCTGTGAAAATCTGAATGATGTTTTGCCATAGTGCATGAACAAAGACCAGACGAGCAGAGGGGAAAAAGCAGCCCTAACCAAGTCATAACCAGGAGACTAAACAAATGCAAATGAAGAGTAACAGTTGTTTAAAAATGCTGATTAGACACGACACACAACAAATAAGTAAGCAATTCAAAATCAATTAAAAGTGAACTTGATCATATAAAATGTGGCATGAATCATTAATCATTACACAGCATTGATTCAGAGCGAACTACCACCTGCATTCTTTCTTAAGTAGCATGATTTCAGAACTAGTGAAAGTCCAGTTTAAAAATCAACTAGCCTCAAATATACTGGACAATGCCACAAAATTTGCTACAACAAACTAAGATACAAAACTGGTTTGTTAGAACCATATTCAACATTGTGCAGAGATCAGTACTGTGACATACTGAGTCCCCTCGACTTGGTGTTGTTCCGTCTCTGGGGCACACGCAGATCCGCTCAGATAAGTGCAACACGCGGGTGCTGCCATGGCGATGGGCATGTGGCAGCACGCATCGCTGCACCCCGTTATCGGACAGCTCCGCCTCCCCCCCCTCACCACCACCTGAGCCCCAGATGCCTCGCCTTTGCCGGCTCTGGCGGTTTCCGTGGTACCCCAGCAGCGCCTCTTAATGGGTCAGCCAAGGGCCGCGGCTCCGCTCGTCCCACCTGCCACGTTTAAGGAACGGGACGCTTGTGCAGATGGACGCCAGCACGCTTTTGTGCTTGAATTGCACAGCATACAAACGAGACCCGCGATCTGGACGCCCTGGAGATCAGACCGGCGAACCGGGCAGGAACTTGAGGAACATCTCCGCTTGAATCCCTCGTGTTTGAGGTCACTTACAAGCCAGAAGCCACTTCATAGCTACGGCAAACACACGACGCACTGCATCCCAGTCGCAAACGTCGCACTGCATCCCAGTCGCATACGACGCACCATGAGCTTGATGAAAGCAAAGCTGACAGTCAGCAAAGCTAAGAGCAGGACCAGCAGCGTCGGTGGGACACTGGAAATGAAAGGCTCCCGTTTTCCAAAAGAATTATACTCAGGGTTGCCAGGGGTTTGCTGTGCACAGGTCTGGCTAATGGGCTAATGGATGACCTACCCCCCCCCCCCATCATGCAGCCACACTGGATAATGCCTGTCAATACCAGTGAAACAAAAAAAAAAAAGCACGTCTCCCCGTTTAGCATCGTCACTTCGATGAGTCGACCTGGTTTTGTTCCTACACCCATCCAGAGTAAATATTGGTCCTAACAGCATTTGCTTAACTGTCCTGCTGGCCACCTGTCACCGTTGCAGTTAAACAAGGAAAATAATGACATTAGAGGGAGTAAAGGGGTCGCCACAGAACGCATCCACGCAAATGCATACACGTCGCAATATTAGCGGGAAGCGTTAGGGAGAGGCGTCCTGCGGCACTTCAGGGGGTATTCCCCAGGCTCACCATGCCCCCATCCCGGGGGGTGCATTACGACGGATGGACGTTAAGAAAGGGGAACAACAGAGTGGAGTGGAAGTGTGGATAACAGAAAGCCCCTTACTGATTCATGGGCACGTGGCTTTAATATGGCAGAAAAACATATGAGATCAAGGTGGATGCCACATTTTCATTGATTAGGAAGAGATTCTGAACAATAGGGTGGTTACATTTCAGCATTTTTGCAGTGGAAAGTACCAGACCCCTGGCCTTGAGACACAGACTCCATTCCTAACTAAAGTGCATTGTTTCCTAACCCTATATTTTTTTCCCCCCAAAACTCAGAAGCACTTAAAAAAAAGCTCGTTTACTGAGCGACTGGTGAGAACATCAACACGGTCGGTAGAGGGGCTGACATTTTTGCTTGGAAATCTTCATTTACAGCAATTCCTTCACTTTCTGTAGTGTGAACTGGACAGCTTGTACAGCATGGAGGACAGAGCAGGGAGCCCCGTATCAGTCATCATTAGAAGCTATTCCATTCTCAGGCCATCGGTGTCGCCTGCAGTGTCCCCTTCTCAGAATGTCACCCTAGAGATTCCCTGGGGTTAAAAAGCCCCGCTACCCATTCTGTGACAGGCGACAGCCCGAGTCTGTGACAGGAATCACCACAGGTGTGGGCATCTTCGCCGTTTTGAAACAAACATGGAAACGATGGCTGGTGCTCTGACGTGCGTGCAGACTGAGACACAATCAGTGGGACCAGATTAACCGCTGTTGCGAGGGTCAGTCTGAGCAGACTGTGGCTGTGAACTACAGCAACAAGCTTCCCTGAAGAACGTCACCAAGCATGTACTGTCTGAGGGACATCAAACAAAGTGGCAGGCACACACTAAATGACGGGGCAGGCTGAGGTAGCAACTCCACTTTCATATCTAACAAGCCTGCAAACTCAGGGTGTGATGCATACCTAAGGGACCCCCACTGCTCAAGGAATGAGCCGGAATTACACCAGCCATAAACCGCATTACTGCATTCTGACATTCATCCGACATTAAAAACCATTACAGCCGCACTCCGCTTCTTCAAATGAACAGCCATTGTATTAACACGCATTAGTACATGGAAGGGACAATGGAATTCATATTCATAAAAGACCACCAGGAAGCCCCTGACTTCTTTATGTTTGTAACAAATCCCAGACAGCTTTACTAGGGCCAAAGTGCTGAAGTTTGACGCAACTGAACTATACATCAAAACGACAGTGATGCATCATGTTGTTACAAAGACGAAGACGCATGAGTCACAATAACAACCCCCCCCACCCCCACCAGCCCCTTTCTGCCTGTCAGGTCCACAGAGGCTTAGTTAGAGAAGGAACAGGGACTCCGAGGGAAAGTGACAGAGTGTCTCACCGCTCTGCTACCCGCGGCCTCCCCACAGTGCATAACGAGCATCAGAGCCAAAATAAAAGCTCCCATACGAATCCTCCTTCACTGCCTTCCAATGACACCAGCGCTATTGGAGACTGAAGAGCAAATTCCCAAAACTCTCTTGGCCCATGGGGCGAGTAAAATCATCTCCGTGGACCTAGTAAGGCCTGACTTTAGGTCACTGACAAGACAACTCAAAAACAATGAAAAATTGTGAGTTTTTGTACATTTGCCCTACAGTTTCATGGCCAGTTTCAGGTCAGACGCGACCCCCCCCCCCCCCCCCCCCCCCCCCCCAACCCCCCCACTCTGTGTGCC